AATTAACACATCCTGATTGCATGTTTGGTCAATTTCAGACTGTAAAAGCTGATAAAATTCTTCAATTTCCTCATCTGTGGCTTTGGTGGTTGGGGCATAAATTTGAATAACAGTCATATTAATGGGTCTTCCTTGTTGCACTGCTTCTTAAAAAAAGCTTAATACTTAAGGACAACAAAAAGTGATGAGAATTTTTTTTTCCTAGAATGATTCATCAAACAAAATATACAGAAACTGATGGATGCAATTTTATGTACTGAGTTTTAACAGTCATTGTATCTACTAATTATTTTGAATGGTGAAAAAGGAAATTAGCAAAAACTTAGAGCTATTCTGCACTATCTCAAAAATAAACAACTATTGGGAGAAAGAATTACAAATATACTATACCCCCATAACATTTTGACATTCAATCATCTATGTGTGTATGTCCTTGCTCAATTGTTTTCTAATGTAGGAATTCTGTATTTGTAAGGAACACAAACAGAGAAACATAGCTCTTTGAATTGAGAGGCACTAAAAGTAAACATGATCAGATGAAAAGACAGATGTTTTCTTGAAGAGGCATTAGGAAACGGAAAACATAGCTAAAATTGTGTTAAATTCCAGTGATAAACATGTTGTAATTTAGATTTCTTCACTAATTGGAACATGTGTATATACTCTTATGTTGTTTTTGTTGTGTGCCGTCGAGTCGGACACGACTCACAGCGACCTCTCCTTGGGTTTCTGAGGCAGTATCACTATGAAAGTAGATTGCCCCATCTTCCTTCCGAGGAGTGGCTGGTGGGTTTGAACCGCCAGCCTTCTGGTTAGCAGTGAAGTGCCTTAGGCACTATGCTACCAGAGCTCCTCATAGACTTATAGAGCTACATAATTAGAACTTATTAAAGATAAAAATTCACAAATTAGATGGCATTCTGTGAACAGTATCAAGGGTACAGACTTGAGAAGAAAACATATTGAGAGCCTCTAAGTTTTCTGAAGGAGATCTGGTGGCACAATGGTTAAGTACTCCCCTTCTAGTCAAAGTGTTGGCTGTTTGAACCAACCAGCTTCTGTGAGTGAGAAAGATGTGTCAATTTGTCTCTGTAAAGATTGGAAACCCGATGGGGCAGTACTACTCTGTTCTATATAGTTATCGTGTGTTGGAACTGATTCAACAGCAATGGGTTTGGTTTTTTAATTATAAGATTTCTGAGTGGAAATTCATAGATTTTTATTTCCTGAATATATTTTAATAACAATTTTGGTGCAAATACTAATGATAAAATTATGGTTCAAAGGAATAGCGATATTTTCCAGAATTTCATATCTTTATACCTTTATGAAGGAGTTCTGGTAGCAGAGTCCCTAAGACATTTGACTGCTAACCAGAAGGCTGGCGGTTCAAACCAGCTACTCTTCAGAAGGAAGATGGGGTAATCTACTTCCATAGTGATACTGCCTCGGAAACCCAAGGAGGGGTCGCTGTGAGTCAGGTTCAACTTGACAGCAGTGAATTATGCCTTTATGAAGCTTGATTCAGATCAATATGTGAGATTTAAATAGTTCATGCACTGAATTCTACTGTGGAAATAACAATGCCTCTAGACACAAGGAGTTCTGGTGGTGCCTGTGGTTAAAGCATTAGTCTGCTAACAAAAATGTTGGCAGTTTGAATCAACCATTCCAGGGGTGAAAGATGAGGTTGTCTGCTTCCATGAAGATTTATAGACTTATAAAAAGGACAGTTCTACTCTGCCCTTTAGAGTCATTATGAGTTAGAATCGACTCAATGGCAGGGTTTTTTTTTTTTCTTTTCTTTTCTTTTCTTTTTTTCCCCTAGACATAAAACAGGAGCTCTGGTAGCGTAGTGCCAAAGGCACTTGACTGCTACCCAGAAGGCTGGTGGTTCAAACCCATCAGCTACTCCTTGGAAGGAAGGTTGGGCAATCTACTCCTGTAGTGATACCACCTCAGCAACCCAAGGAGGGGTTGCTACGGGTCGAGTCCAACTCAATGGCACATAACAACAACAACAACAGACAGAGAACGGTGATTCTAGTCTTACATTTATCTTAAACGAGTGAATTTAGAGTACTATTAAGTTCCTTTGTCTGGAAAATGAGAATAAAATCTTCCCAATATAGGTAACAGATTTATTATGAATCATAGATGTATGGGATTGAATGCTATGTTTGACATTGACATTTCACTGATTACTTTTCTTTGAATATTAACTCCCAATTTATCATGTGTTACTAAAATAATAAGGCAAGACTCCCTTGTACTTTGCTGATGAGACTCTTACTAGGGAACTAATCAAAGGCTATATTGTGATCTAACTTTACTTGAATACACCTCCTTTATCTATCCATCCAAAGTAGCAGCAATATGTGCTTCTTGTTTATGTTGCATACTAAGTTCTGAATTCTAGTCCTATCTCTTTCCCTGTTTATGTAATTAAGTTCTCAGAACTTTGGTTCATCTATTAATTCTGTAGGTTATGTTGAATCATAATTAATTATACAACTTGTTAGAAATTTGACAGATTTTTAAAATGGTGAGATGATTTATAATTTATTTTCTTAGTTAAAGTCTTGGCTTCCAAAGAATTTGCTTCTGAAAACTGTTCCTCTGTTGAAATTTTCCTCAAGCAACAATCTAAATTCTATAGGATATGATAAGTCAAATACATGACCAAATTGCAACAAATGGACATTTACTAATTCTTGAGATACTCTTCCAGACTCACAATAATGTTTCACTTATTCAGAGATTGAGTTGAAATAACTATCTTAGAAGAAGAAATTTTAGTAAACCTGACATAATTTTCTCAGTAGAACTCTGGTTCTGGGGAAAAAAAGTTACTGCAGGTCTTAAGTGGGATTAACTTTCAGTTAGGCAGTAACAAAAGCACTAGGGTAATCTTTTCATAAGTAATGATTTTCTCAATAAGTTCTTAGAAAATATAGCACTCATTTCAAAGTATACAAATCATAAACATCTTGTTATTCAAAAGGTGATATTTCATGTGTTAATATCTTATTTAAAAGTATTAGCATTTATTGTGTTGTTTAACATTGTGCTAAAATTTATATATATATTAAGAAGTTTGATTTTCTCAAAAAAAATTTTGTTGTATCATTGCATATTAAGTGGTAGCTGACTGTATCATATTGCAGAAATGAAGGACTTAATGTCTTTTGTAAAGGTGTTTAACAACTAGGGTGCAATCAGAAACTGATAGAATTTGACATCTACATCGTATATTTTCTGAAGAAAATAAGCGTTAGTCAGGAGGTACACATTTTAAGTTAGAAAATTGAACTTACCTATGCAGTTTGTTCCATCATTAGTTATAAACTTGTCTTGGTTGCTGCTGGATCTATAACCAGGCACACACATACAGTAGTAACTCCCATCTGTGTTAGTGCAGTTGGCATTTTCACCACAAGGCTGGGTTGAATTTTCACATTCATTATCATCTGTGGATATGTTAATTTAAAACATTTAAAAAATCTGTAATTGCAATGCATTCTTATTATGTTCTACCAGTATTTGGAAATTTTCATTGTTTGGTAATTTAAAGCAATGCTATATTTATTTTTAAGAAAACTTAATGATGCTAAAGAATCTGTCTGTTTGCCCAGGAAGAAGGGAGAAGTCAGTCTGAGAAGCCAGTAGTCTCTGTCATACTTGTATATAATGCAGTGTAATGCATGACATATAGTGCTTAAAGGACAATGCAGTGCCTGAGAATTACAAATAAGAAAGAGCATCATTAAATTTTACCAATTGTAAGGAAAATACATTTTAATTATTAACTAACTTATGTAAATGAACACGTCGATGGGAACACACAAAGGAAGATAATATTACATGTTAGAAGTTATTGTAATTTCCTTGATCAATAAATGACACTTGGGTCTAGCATATCCATTAATGATTTCTACAGCTCCAGGAGCTCTGGTGGTGTAGTACCTAAGGCATTTGACTGCTAACCAGAAGGCTGGTGGTTCAAATCCATCAGCCACTCCTCAGAAGGAAGATTAGGCAATATACTTACAAAGAGATACTGTTGTTGTTGTTATGTGCCGTCGAGTCGGACCTGACTCATAGCAACCCCTCCTTATGTTTCCAAGGTGGTATCATTATGGAAGTAGATTGCCCAACCTTCCTTCCAAAGAGTGGCTGGTGGGTTTGAACCACCAGCCTTCTGATACCACCTGGGGAACCCAAGGAGGGGTCACTGTGAGTCGAATTGACTCAACAACAGTGATTTTTTTTTTTTTTTTTTTTTTAGGCCAAACATTTATTTTGTTTTTATATGCTACTATGGGAGCTGACTCCACGGCACATAACAACAACAACAATGGGAGCTCTGGTAGCATAGTGGCTAAGACACTTGCCTGCTAACCAGACGGCTGGTGATTCAAACCCACCAGCCACTCCTCGGAAGGAAGGTTGAGCAATCCTACTTCCGTAGCGATACTGCCTCGGAAACCCAAGGAGGGATCGCTATGAGTCGGGTTTGACTCGACGGCACATAAAAACAACAACAACAACATGCTACTATAGGAGTTCTGCTGGTATACTTGTTAAGGCATATGGCTATTAACCAAAAGGTCAGTGGTTCAAACCCACACACCTCTCTGCAAAGAAGAATGAGGCAATCTACTTGTGTAAAGAATTACAGCCTTGGAAACCCAATGGAGGTGGCTATCAGTTGGTACTGACTCATTAGTAGTGAGTTTGGTTTTATATGTTGCTACATGTATTACCCACCTTTTGTCCACCAGTTTGTTGTACTGTGGTGGCTTGCATGTTGCTATGAGGCTGAAGGCTATGCAACCAATATTGTAAATACTAGCAGGGGCTCTTATGTTGGACAGGTTTCAGCAGACCTTGCAAACTGACAGACTCAGAAGAAGGAAGGGGCCATCCACTTCTCAAAGAATTGGCCAGTGAAAACTTTATGAATAGCAGTGAAACACTGTCTGATATATTACTTGAAAACTTTATGAATAGCCCTGAAACATTGTCTGATATAGTGCCAGAAGATTAGACCTTCAGGTCAGAAGGCCCTCAAAATATGACTGGGGAAGAGCTGCTTCCTCAGAGAACAGCTGACCTTAAGGATGTAGTTGGAGTAAAGATTTTGGGACCTCCATTTGATGATGTGGCATGACTCAAAATGAGAAGAAACAGCTGCAAACATCCATTAATAACTGGAACATGGAATGCATGAAGTATGAATCTAGGAAAATTGGAAGTTGGCAAAAATGAATGGAACACATAAAGATTGATACAATAGGCATTAGTGAGCTGAAATAGACTATTTTTGGCTATTTTTAATCAGACAACCATATGATCTACTATGCTGAGAATGACAAATTGAAGAGGAATGGTGTGGCATTCATTGTTACAAAGAATGTTTCAAGATCTACCCTGAAGTACAATACTGTCAGTGATAGGATAAAATCCATTGTGGTAGTTAAGGTTGTTATCAACTTGGCTGGGCCTAGTTGAGGGGCTGAGCAGCTGTATGTAGTTATTCCCCATGGTGAGATTGGCAATCAACTGCTTGGTGGACTCTACTGGAGCAGCTGAGTACTTGCTTTAGGGATGTCAGCTGCATCCACTATATAAGAAGTAGCTTTAAGGAAGTTCTCCAGCTTTTTGGCATGCTTGAACCCTACATATAGCTAAGTCATTTTTCAGTAGCCTGCCATGCCTTCCTAATCGTGGGACTTTTTCTGGAATTGAATTAGTGGCCTGCCATGTTGCTTGGAAATATTGGGGTGTGCTTTTTCACTTGTCGACCTTGAGTTTGTTAGCCTCAGTAGCCAGCAGCTGCCTGAGTGAAGAAAAGCCTCCACCTTCAATGGGCCAGGAGCAGGAGGCAGACCTGAAGCCAAAGGTTGAGGGGCATTCACCCAGCCCCTAGAACCTGGCACTTTGAACTCATACATGTAGGCTCCAAAACTGTTAAGGGAATAAACTCCTCTGTGTTAAAGCCATCCCATTTGTGGTATGTTCTTATCAGAGTGGAACAAGGTAACCAAGACATCCATACACCAACAAGGAAGACCAGTTAATATTACTATTATTCAAATTTACATATCATCTACCAAAGCCAAAGGTGAAGAAATCAAAGATTTTTATCAACTCTGCAGTCTGAAAATGACCAAATATGCAGTCAAGATGTGTTGATTATCACCAGTGATAGGAATGCAAAAGTTGGAAACTAAGAATCATCAGTAATTGAAAAATATGGCCTTGGTGAAAGAAATAGCACTGGAGATCTCAAGATAGAATTTTGCAAGACCAATGACTTATTCATTGCAAATACCATTTTTCAGCAACATAAATGACAGCTATACAGGTGGACTTCACCAGATGGAGTATACAGGAATCAGCTTGACGAAATCTGTCAAAAGATGCAATGAAAAAGCTCAGTATCTTCAGCCTAACAGAGCAGGAGATGATTGAGGAACATATCATCATCAACTACTCATATGCATGTTCAAGTTGAAGCTGAAGACAATTAAAAGAAGTCCACGAGAGCCAAAATATGACCTTGATTAAATCCCTTCTGAATTTAGAGATAATCCAAAGAATAGATTTGATTCATTGAACACCAGTGACTGAAAATCAGAAGAAATGTGGGATGACATCAAGAATATGATCCATGAAGAAGATCCGATGAAAGAGTCCCAAAATACATAAATCAGACTAACAGAATTGAAAAGACAAATAGATGACTCCACAGTCATAGTAAGATACTTTAATACACCACTTTGAATAAAAGACAGAACAATGGGAAAGAAATCCCAAAAGATGCAGAAGAGCTAACAATATAATCCATCAACTTGACCTTATAGACATCTATAGACCACTTCACCCAACAACAGCACAATATATATTATTTTCTAGTGCACATGAAACATTCTCCATTATAGACCATGTGTTAGGCCATAAAACAAGTCTTTATACATTTAAAAACAATGAAATACTGCAAAGCATCTTCTCAGATCACAATGCTATAAAATTAGAAATTAACAATAGGAATATCAATAGTAAAAGAGCAAACACATGGAAACTGAACAACACCCTTCTTAAGAATGACTGGGTAATATAAGAAATATATCATGAAATTAAAAAATTCCTTGACTCAAACGAGAATGAAAACACAACATATCAAAATCTTGGGACACAGCAAAAGCAGTGATCAGAGGCCAATTTATAGCAATAAATGCAGATATTAAAAAAGAAGAAAGAATCAAAATCAACACTTTAAACCAACAGCTCCAACAATTAGAAAAAAAAAAAAAAAAGCAAGAAAAGCCTACAGTCACCAGAAAAAGGAAATAATAAAGATTCAAGCAAAAATCAATGAAACAGAAAATTGAAAAACAATTAAAAAAATTAACAAAACTAGAAGTTAGCTTTTTGAAAGATTAATAAAATTGACAAACACTGGCAAATTTAATAAAGGAAAATAGGGAGAGAATACAAACAACACAAATAAGAAACAAAATGGGTGACATCACAACAAAACCAACTGAAATAAAAAAGATAATATCAGGATACTATGAAGTACTGTACTCCAAGAAATTTGAAAATCTGGAAGAAATGGATAGATTTCTAGAAACACATTATTTACCTAAACTAACATAGTCTGAGGTAGAAAATTTGAACAGACCCATAACAAAAAAAGAAATCGAACAAGTCATCAAAAAGCTACCAAAAAAAAAAAAGCCCTGGCCCTGATGGTTTCACCAGAGAAGTCTACCAAACATTCAGAGGAACTGACACCAATCCTATTTAAACTATTCCAAAACACAGAAAAGGATGGAATCCTCCCAAATTCATTTTATGAAACCAGCATAATCTTGATACCAAAACCAGGCAAAGACATCACTCAAAAGGAAAACTACAGACCAATATCCCTCATGATATAGATGCAAAAATTTTCAAAAAAATCCTGGCCAGTAGACTCCAACAACATACCAAAAAAATAATTCATTCTGACCAAGTGGAGTTCATATCAGTTATGCAAGGATGGTTCAACATTAGAAAAACAAGCAACATCATCAACCACATAAATAGTAATAATAAAAAAAAGGAAACAAACCACATGATGATATTAATCAATGCAGAAAAGCCATCTGATAAAATCCAACACCCATTTCTGATCAAAACTCTGAGCAAAATAAGAAAAGAAGGGACATTCCTCAACATAATAAAGATCATATATGCAAATGAGCCAACAGTATTGTCAAAGGAGAGAGACTGAAACCGTTCCTCTTGTGAACAGGACCCAGGCAAGGATGCCCTCCACCACCACTTCTATTCAACATTGTATTCGAAAGCCTAGCCAGGGCCATAAGGCAAGAAAGGGAAATCAAAGGCATCTAAATTGGTAAGGAAGAAGTCAAACTATCTCTATTTGCTGATGATAGGATCCAATGCCTAGAAAACC